ACCTTGCTCCTGGATTTTTTCTGATGTCCTCCAGATTGAGTCTTGTGAACCAGCTAGGGTACCATCATCCAAGAACCAGATGTTAAGCTCGCTGGACAGGACCTCTGTGACTTGTTTGATGACTAAGCAGAAAAGGAGAGGAGCAAGGGTGTCACCCTGTTGGACGCCTTCCTCGCGAATCAATTTCATGTTCGCCAATAAGTAGCTTAAGATCCATACTGTAGCATGAATGTACAAAAGGGTAGAGGGAAGGGAAATGACTATGAACCGCACGGAGTACAGCATCCCTCCGCACCAAATTGAAGGCATTTTTGAAATCTAGCTTGATAAGGGCCTTTTCGTCTGTAATGTTGGCGATGAAGGCTCGAGCTGCTGGGCTGCCACCACCTCACACCCTTGTGGAATGCCAAACCCGAGCTGTTTTTGGCTTCAGCATGTTGACCGCTGCAATCACTAACTGTTCTTGCAGCTGCCTTTGCGACGAGACGCCGGAGTGAATTGCCCACATCTATTGGCCTGATCCCTCCATCCTTTTTCTTTAGAGCACAGAGAGATGCTCCAAAAATGATAGGTCTTATGGACGCTGGTATGTTGCCAGCTAGACATGTGTTGGTGAATCTGGTTAGTTCCACCAAGAGGTTCTTTGCAATGGTCACCCAGTGCTGGGGTGAGCATTTGCTTGAGGTGGTTGGGTTTTAGGTCCTGTGAACCCCCCTGCTGATCCTGTCGGGAAGGACAATGCTGCTTTATGGACCACAGATTCAGCCACCCATAGAGGTTTCTGCTCCGGTAGCCCCCACTTGTACAATGTCGTCCCCAACGCGGAGCCCTGGGTGGGTGTGTTTCTCCCTTAGGGCTTGAGCTGTTGCGGCATCTCTGTCGGCAATTGAGTCCTCACTGGTGATGACTCGTATTGCGCCAATAGTGTTTCCTTCTTCTATTTTCTTGGTGACTGATGTTCTGATTTTTGATGTCTCGGATTGCCACTGTTGCTCTTCCTGCCGTGTGTGTTTCTCGCACGAGTGGGAAGGCGCACCTGGTTTTCCTCCCTAGGAAAATCATTTATAAGCTTTGATGACTGAGGCAGCTAAGGTTTTGTATCTCCTTGCAGGGGTGGCTAGACATATGTTGCCAAACATTAGGAGGTTGTGCCATGCTTGGGTCGTTCCAGGAGAGTCGTTGACCTTTCTCAGGAGGACAGAATTTTTGGCTGCTGCATGGGGGCGGGCTGCTTTAGGGATGTGCTGCAAGGTTTCTGGCCGATGTTGCTTTGATAGCTTCTAATAAATTTTCTGTGGGAATGAAGGTCTGGGAGGTGTTTTGCCTTATGGGCGGTGTGGGCTGTTTGATTGGTGTTCTCCCTGGGAGGGCTCCCAGAACCCAAACACCTGGCTCCGTTGTGGTAATGAATGCGCACATTATCGTCCCTCAACCGGATATAGCATACCCTGTCACCCGTCTGATATCTACCGTGTCTACCCCTGCTTGATGGCTCATCTTGGCTTGGAGAAGCCTGGCTATCTGTTGAGAGCTGCGACATGGGCGGGCGCTGGGCGGGCGCTGGGCGGGAGGGTGGACGGCGGGTGGAGACTGTAGGGTGGCGGCGGTTGGAGGCTGGGGGATGTCAGCTGGCCGTGGCACTTACTACTCAGATGAGTGGTAATACATATACCACCTCTATACAAAGTGTGGGTATACACCCCCTACCACAATATGTTGGTATACATTGGGTGGGTGGGTGGCGTAGACACACATGGGAGCCTCCCGGCTTCTATGGGCGGTTGGCAAGGTGGCCTATATATATAATATATTATATAATATATATATATATATATTTATATATATATATATATTATATCTATATATCTAATATCTATATATATATATATATATTTTTTTTTTAAAGTTTGTGAGGGTACCACCTCTGGTGCAAATGTGGGGACCCATAGCCTCGGAGAAGAAATAAAAAGTATTCAGAGGAGACCTTGTGGTTTCTCACTGAACACTAATATTATCTTCTCCTACCACCCCCATTCTTTTGTATGTACCACATATATATTTACTTTATTTGAACTTTGTTACAAAAAAGGAGTTACATATGGGTTACAAAGATGGTTATCATAGGTTGTCGAGTTCCTCCAACTCCTCAGATGGCGGGTAGGAACCCTGGATGCAGTGCGCATTACCCCTCTGTATCGCCACACTGAGGCGCTGGAAAAGAAAGCTTGCAGCTCTTGGGTCCCTTGTTGTTTCAATGAGCCTAGAACCCAGTTCATTCAAAAAACTGGTAGCACTTTTAACCCCAGGCGCCGAGTGTCTCAGAAGCAATGGGGACAAAATTGTAGTGGTGATCCAGTTCTCTATACTTACGGGATTTGGCTGCTTCCCTGTGGGTGGCAGCGCCACCTGTTGTGCAACACTGGATTTAATGTAGGTGTTAGCCAGGGTTGATACGCACGTGTAGTCCCATACCAACTGCTTGCCATTCTTCCCAGGGTTCACTGTGATACCATCCGGGCGACCAATAAGAGCATCAGAGTTACGGGGCGTTTAGGTAACGGGGCTCTCTTTCCGCTGGGCATCCAGCTGTGGTGAGGCTCCTCTTGATGATGTCATTAACTTCACTGTGCCTCGAGTGCCATCCCCCTGTGCTTTGGCAGAGTAGCCATGGTGGCCGGACCTGTCAGCCACCACCTCGCCGCAAATACACCTATATCTGGTGTGGATTGGGGCAGCAAGGCGGAGAGCCACAGCAATTCGGAGGGCGTGGTGGTGTGAGACCGCTTGCCAGTTGCCGACATTGGGGTTGCTAACAGGAAATCCCCTGCATGTGGTGCTGCTACTGCTGTGAGGCGAGCAATGTCGTGTTGTGTTGTTGCAGCACCCAGGCACTCTGCAGCAACTTGGTCTACAATGGGGCCATCCCAGCTGGATTGCTTGTGGGCTTTTGGGGATGGTGGTTGAGGTGATTTGCCTGCACGAGAAGCCCACTCTGTGGCACAGCGTGTAAAATTGGGATCATGTACACCTGCCAGCTGATGTAAGTGGGCAGGTAGAATTTCCTTCACAAGGTCGTCGGATGCTGATAAGGAGGACAGGAAGGCTGGAACAGCGATTTGCGTTGCTGTTCGAACTCCGAGGCCCCCAAGTCTTACGGGAAGAGAGGCTTGTTTCCACTGTAGGTCATCGAGAGAGAGGTTATACGGGCTTTTTCTAGCATTGATTTCAGTAAACCGGTCCTAACTCACTTAGTTTTTGGCTACTGTAAGATGGTGAACACCTCAGAAAGTAGGTTAACCTGGGAGGGACAGACATCTGGTGATGATGTAGAGTGCATCATGAGCATCAATATCCTCAATGGTAATTCAAAGATTCACAGGCCGGATCACGGTACACTCTGTCGTACCGAGTGTACCGACAGAGTGTACCGTGATCCGGCCTGTACTCCTCTTGACATACCAGAAAACAGTCTTAGGAAACTACTCCAAGCTTGTACTAAAGAGGCACCCTTCTTGAGCCCGGATGGACACATGTATAAGCAAGTAGATGGGGTCGCCATGGGTTCTCCCCTAGGTGTCCTGTTTGCAAACTTCTACAAGAGTACCATCGAGCAAAAAGTCTTAGTCGACATGAACTTGAATCCGGCCATATACTGCAGGTATGTTGACGACATTTTTACACAGGTACCTGATGTCAGACATCTGCTGGAGCTGAAGGAGGCATTTGAGCAGAATTCTGTGTTGCGTTTCACTTACGAGATGGAGAAGGATGGGAAGCTGCCCTTTCTAGATGTAACAGTCATGGAAAGGAGCGGAGTTTTCCACACTGCAGTCTACACTAAGGAAACAAACATAGGTATGTGCCTGAATGCCAACAGTGACTGCCCAGACAGGTACAAGAGGAGTTAAAATTAACGTAGATATATGACCGAACCTAACCAACCCTACCTAACCTAACCTAACCTATCTTTATAGGTTAGGTTAGGTTAGGTAGCCGAAAAAGTTAGGTTAGGTTAGGTTAGGTAGATTAGGTAGTCGAAAAGCAATTAATTCATGAAAACTTGGCTTATTAGGCAAATCGGGCCTTGCATAGTAGGCTCAGAAGTGAGTTCTGGCTACTAGGTACGACATATACATATATATATATATATATATATATATATATATATATATATATATATATATATATATATATATATATATATATATATATATATATATACATACATATATATATATATATATATATATATATATATATATATATATATATATATATATATATATATATATATATATATATATATATATATGTGTGTGTGTGTATGTTTGTATTCACCTAGTTGTGCTTGCGGGGGTTAACCTCTGCTCTTTCGGCCCGCCTCTCTACTGTTAAACAACTGTTACTAACTACTTTTTTTCCTCTCCCACATCACACACACACTCACACGCTAAGCACCCCGTGACAGCTGATTATCTCCCAGGTACCTATTTACTGCTAGGTAACAGAGCATCAGGGTGAAAGAAACTCTGCCCATTGTTTCTCGCTGGGGGCGGGAAACGTATGTGTGTGTGTGTATGTGTGTATCACAAAAAAATCACAATTGCGTGATACTTCGATGAAAATTATTTTGAGGATATGGAGTAATTCGAACCCGCGTTCGGGTGAATTCTGGACACCTGCCCTAGCCAACTTAGCCATGATGGTACAAAAAGCTAACCATCCCGGAACTCTACTGAATTCACTGGGAGATTCTGGAGGCTGTGGCTTGGGGCTTCCAGAACTTGAACTGGATTTTACAAATCTCGACTATTATTCTTTAATATCTCTCATAATCTTTTAATATGATATGAAAAACGCTGATCTAGTCTTCGCACTACACACCTAAATATTTAGTAAATTTTAATTGCATCATAATGAGACTCTTACCATTATCGTCAAAATACTAAACAAAATATTTGCATCCAGAGTTGATCCTGCTAAATTGTAAAGAACTTTACGTGAAATTCATTCCCTTTGCGACCCAATCCAATATTTCTGCTTCAGGACCCTTGAACCAGAGACGCTGCCCGCCAAGCGCGGTCTCATCCTTCTTCATGAAGGCTGTTGTACTTATACGCTCGTCCATCGCCACTACGAAGGTCGGCCTTTGGGCAAACCTGCAGCAGGAAGTTCACATGCTAGGAAATTTGTTATAAATTAGTGAATGATGTAGGTTCTCGTATATTTCTTATGATAAAATTTTAGTGTTTGATGAGTGTCCAGTACGTCATGCTTTTTGATCAGTATCCAGTACGTCATGCTGTTTGATTAGTATCCAGTACGTCATGCTGTTTGATGAGTGTCCAGTACGTCATGCTGTTTGATGAGTGTCCAGTACGTCATGCTTTTTGATGAGTGTCCAGTACGTCATGCTGTTTGATTAGTATCCAGTACGTCATGCTGTTTGATGAGTGTCCAGTACGTCACGCTGTTTGATGAGTGTCCAGTACGTCATGCTGTTTGATGAGTATCCAGTACGTCATGCTGTTTGATGAGTGTTCAGTACGTCATGCTGTTTGATGAGTGTCCAGTACGTCATGCTGTTTGATGAGTGTCCAGTACGTCATGCTGTTTGATGAGTGTCCAGTACGTCATGCTGTTTGATGAGTGTCCAGTACGTCAAGCTGTTTGCTGAGTGTCCAGTACGTCATGCTGTTTGATGAGTGTCCAGTACGTCATGCTGTTTGATGAGTGTCCAGTACGTCATGCTGTTTGATGAGTGTCCAGTACGTCATGCTGTTTGATGAGTGTTCAGTACGTCAAGCTGTTTGATGAGTGTCCAGTCCGTCATGCTGTTTGATGAGTGTCCAGTACGTCATGCTGTTTGATGAGTGTCCAGTACGTCATGCTGTTTGATGAGTGTCCTGTACGTCATGCTGTTTGATGAGTGTTCAGTACATCAAGCTGTTTGATGAGTGTCCAGTACGTCATGCTGTTTGATGAGTGTTCAGTACGTCAAGCTGTTTGATGAGTGTCCAGTACGTCATGCTGTTTGATGAGTGTCCAGTACGTCACGCTGTTAGATGAATATCCAGTACGTTATGCTGTTTGATGAGTGTCCAGTACGTCATGCTGTTTGATGAGTGTCTAGTACGTCATGCTGTTTGATGAGTGTCCAGTACGTCATGCTGTTTGATGAGTGTCCAGTACGTCATGTGTTTGATGAGTGTCCAGTACGTCATTATGTTTGATGAGTGTCCAGTACGTCATGCTGTTTGATGAGTGTCCAGTACGTCATGTGTTTGATGAGTGTCCAGTACGTCATGCTGTTTGATGAGTGTCCAGTACGTCATGCTGTTTGATGAGTGTCCAGTACGTCACGCTGTTAGATGAATATCCAGTACGTTATGCTGTTTGATGAGTGTCCAGTACGTCATGCTGTTTGATGAGTGTCCAGTACGTCATGCTGTTTGATGAGTGTCCAGTACGTCATGTGTTTGATGAGTGTCCAGTACGTCATTATGTTTGATGAGTGTCCAGTACGTCATGTGTTTGATGAGTGTCCAGTACGTCATTATGTTTGATGAGTGTCCAGTACGTCATGCTGTTTGATGAGTGTCCAGTACGTCATGTGTTTGATGAGTGTCCAGTACGTCATGTGCTTGATGAGTGTCCAGTACGTCATTATGTTTGATGGATGTTCAGTACGTCATACTGTTTGATGAGTGTCAGATGCAGTTGTTATGTTTATCACCAAGAATCCATTTGCTTAAATCAGAAGTAAATTTTCGTTAATTGCACCCAGCACAAAGATATCTTGTGTGACAGCACAAAGTTGGTGATGGATGCCGTTCATTGATTGAGGCAAATGGCAGAAATGGATATAAATATATTATTGTTTGCGTGCTGATTAAAGTGTGAGTGCGTTTTAAATGCATGAGCAGTTTCATTTTAAATCAATGTTGAAACAATTTTTATATATTCTAGAGTAAAGCATTTCTTTTTTTTTTAAATTTTGTGATGCGCCTGGGAGCTTAAAGCTCAAATATAATAGAAACACGTTGGATAGTTAACATACTTTGAAAACTTTTCAGGGAAAAGTTGGCTATTACTGTTTAAAGTAAGACCACACTCTGAGGACCAGGAAGCAGCCCTCAGTATCTGAGGGCTGTACGGCCAGTGAACATACATTCCACACCTGCAAAAATTGAAAATACACGTAGAGCGCAATTTAATTATACATATTTTATGTTTTAGAATATTGTCGATAAACCCTCGCGAAGGTGATACGATTTTTCAGGATTACCACCGAAAAATTACCTTAATTTCCCGAAGACGTTTTCCACAACGAACAGCATTGAGTTGGTCATGGAGAGCAGGCCATGGAGGACCTGCAGGTGGTGGAGGGGGAGGCGGGTGAGGACCAGGAGTCTCGTCGACCACACCAGGAGGCGGCCCTTGAGGGACCACTGGGCGAAGGCGGCGAGGAAGGTGAGGTCGTCGCTCACCACCACCACCGTCACGCACCATGACACCTGCCGCACCTGTTGTAATGAACATAAGAGTGAGCGCTGTTGGTATACGTATGCCAGTAACTGTCAAGGTCAGTCTCAAAATATACGTGGTCGTAGTACGACAAATGAACTATTAGTTACAAGACTTACCTTCCGTGCTTCGGCGATCACTCTGTTCATCTGTGTTTGTGTAACATTACAGTTGAGTGCGGGTGCTGACACATAGAACACTGCCACGCCTCCGGTGATACACAGCAGCTGTGTCGCCTACAACACACACATATAAACAAAATAAATTCTGCCATGGCTTTAATGGCATACATTATTACTTTTTTTAACACAAAATATCATATGCAAGCAAGTCAGCTGCTTAAGAATTTATTCAAAATAGCATGAATGGTATAATACCTGAAAGAGAGCAGTGGAGGAGGTGGTTCCATCAGTGAGCATCATGACTGAGCACCGGGGATCACCATCTCCTGACAACACAGCATCCACCGCCCTGGCTGCTAGCGGCAGCAGCGCCTCCTCCTGCACAACTGCCAGCAACACATCACTCTTCACCGCCATACTCTCCTCTCCCGGGCAACGGCAGATTTATATGTGTTAGAATATTTTCCTGCGTATTTCCATTAGTTACATATAATAACTGAATGTTCCTTAATATATCAGCTATTATTTATTCTAACGATGACAATATATTACTCACCAGGGATGGCACCACATGCTTTACTCATCAGGGGTGGCACCACATGCTTTACTCACCAGGGGTGGCACCACATGCTTTACTCATCAGGGGTGGCACCACATGCTTTACTCATCAGGGGTGGCACCACATGCTTTACTCATCAGGGGTGGCACCACATGCTTTACTCACCAGGGATGGCACCACATGCTTTACTCACCAGGGTGGCACCACATGCTTTACTCACCAGGGGTGGCACCACATGCTTTACTCACCAGGGGTGGCACCACATGCTTTACTCACCAGGGGTGGCACCACATGCTTTACTCACCAGGGGTGGCACCACATGCTTTACTCACCAGGGGTGGCACCACATGCTTTACTCATCAGGGGTGGCACCACATGCTTTACTCACCAGGGGTGGCACCACATGCTTTACTCATCAGGGGTGGCACCACATGCTTTACTCACCAGGGGTGGCACCACATGCTTTACTCACCAGGGGTGGCACCACATGCTTTACTCATCAGGGGTGGCACCACATGCTTTACTCACCAGGGGTGGCACCACATGCTTTACTCACCAGGGGTGGCACCACATGCTTTACTCATCAGGGGTGGCACCACATGCTTTACTCACCAGGGGGTGGCACCACATGCTTTACTCACCAGGGGTGGCACCACATGCTTTACTCACCAGGGGTGGCTTTAGGGGGGCACCACATGCTTTAACCCCCCAGGGGTGGCACCACATGCTTTACTCACCAGGGGTGGCACCACATGCTTTACCCATCAGGGGTGGCACCACATGCTTTACCCATCAGGGGTGGCACCACATGCTTTACTCACCAGGGGTGGCACCACATGCTTTACTCACCAGGGGTGGCACCACATGCTTTACTCACCAGGGGTGGCACCACATGCTTTACCCATCAGGGGTGGCACCACATGCTTTACCCATCAGGGGTGGCACCACATGCTTTACCCATCAGGGGTGGCACCACATGCTTTACCCATCAGGGGTGGCACCACATGCTTTACTCACCAGGGGTGGCACCACATGCTTTACTCACCAGGGGTGGCACCACATGCTTTACTCACCAGGGGTGGCACCACATGCTTTACCCATCAGGGGTGGCACCACATGCTTTACCCATCAGGGGTGGCACCACATGCTTTACCCATCAGGGGTGGCACCACATGCTTTACCCATCAGGGGTGGCACCACATGCTTTACTCACCAGGGGTGGCACCACATGCTTTACTCACCAGGGGTGGCACCACATGCTTTACTCACCAGGGGTGGCACCACATGCTTTACCCATCAGGGGTGGCACCACATGCTTTACCCATCAGGGTGGCACCACATGCTTTACCCATCAGGGGTGGCACCACATGCTTTACCCATCAGGGGTGGCACCACATGCTTTACTCACCAGGGGTGGCACCACATGCTTTACTCACCAGGGGTGGCACCACATGCTTTACTCACCAGGGGTGGCACCACATGCTTTACTCACCAGGGGTGGCACCACATGCTTTACCCATCAGGGGTGGCACCACATGCTTTACTCACCAGGGGTGGCACCACATGCTTTACTCATCAGGGGTGGCACCACATGCTTTACTCACCAGGGGGGTGGCACCACATGCTTTACTCACCAGGGGTGGCACCACATGCTTTACTCACCAGGGGTGGCACCACATGCTTTACTCATCAGGGGTGGCACCACATGCTTTACTCACCAGGGGTGGCACCACATGCTTTACTCACCAGGGGTGGCACCACATGCTTTACTCATCAGGGGTGGCACCACATGCTTTACTCACCAGGGGTGGCACCACATGCTTTACTCATCAGGGGTGGCACCACATGCTTTACTCACCAGGGGTGGCACCACATGCTTTACTCATCAGGGGTGGCACCACACCACATGGCACCACATACTTTACTCACCAGGGGTGGCACCACATGCTTTACTCATCAGGGGTGGCACCACATGCTTTACTCACCAGGGGTGGCACCACATGCTTTACTCATCAGGGGTGGCACCACATGCTTTACTCACCAGGGGTGACACCACATGCTTTACTCATCAGGGGTGGCACCACATGCTTTACTCACCAGGGGTGACACCACATGCTTTACTCAACAGGGGTGGCACCACATGCTTTACTCAACAGGGGTGACACCACATACTTTACTCATCAGGGGTGACACCACATGCTTTACTCACCAGGGGTGGCACCACATGCTTTACTCAACAGGGGTGACACCACATGCTTTACTCATCAGGGGTGACACCACATGCTTTACTCACCAAGGGTGACACCACATGCTTTACTCACCAGGGGTGGCACCACATGCTTTACTCAACAGGGGTGACACCACATGCTTTACTCAACAGGGGTGACACCACATGCTTTACTCAACAGAGGTGACACCACATGCTTTACTCACCAGGGGTGGCACCACATGCTTTACTCACCAGGGGTGACACCACATGCTTTACTCACCAGGGGTGACACCACATGCTTTACTCAACAGGGGTGACACCACATGCTTTACTCATCAGGGGTGACACCACATGCTTTACTCACCAAGGGTGACACCACATGCTTTACTCACTAGGGTTGGTACCACATGCTTTACTCAACAGGGGTGACACCACATGCTTTACTCAACAGGGGTGACACCACATGCTTTACTCAACAGGGGTGACACCACATGCTTTACTCACCAGGGGTGACACCACATGCTTTACTCACCGGGTTGTGAGACCACATGAGTTACTTACCAGGGGTGGGGGTCCACACGCGTTACTCACCAGGTGTTCGGACCACAAGCGTTACTCACCAGGTTTTCAGACCACAAGCGTTACTCACCAGGTGTTCAGACCATATGCGTTACTCACCAGGTGTTCAGACCACATGCTTTACCCACCAGGTGTTCAGATCACACGCGTTACTCACCAGGTGTTCAGACCACATGCATTACTCACCAGGACGTGAGAAAACACGAGTTACTCACCAGGAGGTTAGACCACATGCGTTACTCACAAGGTGGTTAGACCACATGCGTTACTCACCAGATGGTTAGACCACATGCGTTACTCACCAGGTGATGGGACTACATGCGTCACTCACCAGGTGATGGGACCACATGCGTTACTCACCAGGTTATGGGACCACATGCGTTACTCACCAGGTGATGGGACCATATGGGTTACTCACCAGGTGATGGGACTACATGCGTTATTCACCAGGTGATGGGACCACATGCGTTACTCACCAGGTGGTGGGACCACAAGCGTTACTCACCAGGTGGTGAGACCACTTGCGTTACTCACCAGGTGGTGAGACCACTTGCGTTACTCACTAGGTCGTGGGACCACATGCGTTACTCACCAGGTGGTTAGACCACATGCGTTACTCACCAGGTGGTTAGACCACATGCGTTACTCACCAGGAGGTGGGACAACACGCGTTACTCACCAGGGGGTTAGACCACATGCGTTACTCACCAGGTGGTGGGACTACATGCGTTACTCACCAGGTGGTTAGACCACATGCGTTACTCACCAGGTGGTTAGACCACTAGCTCCATTACTCACCAGAGGTCGGGCCCAGCTGTACTACAGACAAGAGGGTGGGGCCAGCTGTGGTACTCACCAGGGGTCGAGGCCAGCTGTGCTACTCACCAGGGGCAGGGCCAGCTGTGCTATTCACCAGAGGTCGGGGCCAGCAACGGTACTCACCAGAGGTCGGGGCCAGCTGTGGTATTCACCAGGGGTCGGGGCCAGGAGCGCTACTCACCAGGGTCGGGGCCAGCTGTGCTACTCACCAGAGGTCAGGGCCAGCTGTGCTACTCACAAAGGCTCGAGGCCAGCTGTACTACTCACCAGGGGTCGGGGCCAGCTGTGCTACTCACCAGGGGTCGGGGCCAGCTGTGCTACTCACCAGAGGTCGAGGCCAGGAGCGCTACTCACCAGGGGTCGGGGCCAGCTGTGCTACTCACCAGGGGTCGGGGCCAGCTGTGCTACTCACCAGGGGTCGGGGCCAGCTGTGCTACTCACCAGGGGTCGAGGCCAGGAGCGCTACTCACCAGGGGTCGGGGCCAGCTGTGCTACTCACCAGGGGTCGGGGCCAGCTGTGCTACTCAGCTACTCACCAGGGGTCGGGGCCAGCTGTGCTACTCACCAGGGGTCGAGGCAAGGAGCGCTACTCACCAGGGGTCGAGGCAAGGAGCGCTACTCACCAGGGGTCGGGGCCAGCTGTGCTACTCACCAGGGGTCGAGGCAAGGAGCGCTACTCACCAGGGGTCGGGCCAGCTGTGCTACTCAGCTACTCACCAGGGGTCGGGGCCAGCTGTGCTACTCACCAGGGGTCGAGGCAAGGAGCGCTACTCACCAGGGGTCGAGGCAAGGAGCGCTACTCACCAGGGGTCGGGGCCAGGAGCGCTACTCACCAGGGGTCGGGGCCAGGAGCGCTGCAGCCAAGAGGACAAGGGTGCCCAGCATAATAGCTGATGATGTTATAAACATATCGCAGACTGGTAGGCCTCAGCTTCAGCCTGTGACAATATATATATACACTCATGCACTCACACACATACCTAAAGTACTCAAGGAAAGGAACTGAAAACAAAATGGCTGGCATTCCGTAAGGGAAACTTTGTGGAGATAATAAAATTCCTAATAGATGTTCACTGTTCCACGAATCACCGTTCACTATTTTTTTTTGTTTTTTTTTTTTTTTTTGTTTTTTTTTTCCTAATACACGCATGTACACAAAGTGCATCATGCCCATGCACTCGGCCCCAGGTCCAGACTCATGGAATTCAATATTCATAAAGAAATGCAAAGTGCCGGTAGCACAGGCACTCA